CAGGGATGCGAGGACCCGCGCTGCTGCTCCCAGGGATGCGAGGACCCGCGCTGCTGCTCCCAGGGATGCGAGGACCCGCGCTGCTGCTGCTGCTGCATCCTTCTATTCCTGGGGGCCTGGTGGTGCCTTTAATGTTCGCACGCAGCCTCGCAGCACGATGCTCGCTGCTCAGCGAGAACAACTGATACAGGAAGTCCCCCACTGCGGCCTAGCTGCCCATGGATAGGAAGGGTTCCAAAAATGCGGACCAGAATTAGGCGCTGGTACCAGGGCCAGGAGTCCAGGAAGCAGCTACCCAACCCAGCTGGTGTGGTCTTGGGGAGGGCGGGACAACGTTTCAGAAGGAAACTGGTGGCTGTCCAGCGCAGTCCCTGCATCAAAGCCACCAACGCGTTGGCATTAAAATGGTCAATTTTGTTGTGACTTTCTCCTCCATTAAAAAAGAAAGACTCCTGCAGTGATGTTCATTCTTGACAGACTGCCTGAGGCAGTTAGGGCTCAGAACCACCTGCAATTCCAAAGTCCTGTAAATGGGGGGGGGGGCTCTTCCGCAAAGTTACAGACCCTCTGGCCTCAGTCTGTGGAGACTTGAGGCTGAAGCCTGCGTCTCACAGCATAGAGCTGAGGGGGGAGGTAGGACAAGACACTGAGGAGGAGCAATAGCCTTAAAGGCTTCCTTTAAAATGTATTTCTTGGGGCTGGGGAGATGGCTTAGTGGAATAAGTGCTTCCCTGGCAAGCGCAATGGCCTGAGTTCAATCCCCGGTTCTGCAAAAAAAAATAAAATGTGTTTCTTGTAGCTTGTCTATGATATATGCTAATATAGCTAAGTGACTTGCATGAATATATAGGAATAACAAATATTAAATTTGGAGAGCTTGCTCAGTGTCTTTTGCTGGTTGAATTATGCAATCAAAAACATTGAGGGGGAAAAAGACCAAAGAAGTAAGTATGGAAGTCTGTGGGTAGATGCTCACCTGAATTGGGAAACAAAGTAACTTTTTAAAAAATTCTCTTCTGGGCCTGCAGGATAGTTCAGCAGACTAAGCGCCTGCTTAGGCAAACGCAGGGACCATGGTTCAATCCCCGGCACCACATACTGAAAACAGGAGGATCTCTACAAGTCCGAGCTACATAGTGAGACTTTGTACCAAATACAAAAAAAAAAAAAAAAATCTGTTGTGAAGCTGGAAGCTGACAGGAGGACTGCAAGTCAGATCTCACTTGGACAACTCAGACTGTCTACACAACAAAGAACAGAAAGGCTAAGGGTACAGCTGAATGGTGGACTCCCCCAGGTTTGTCCCGAGTATAGCACACGCTTGCGCACACACGCTCCAAACTTGTGCTCCATGAAGCTGGGGTCTTCCCTCTGGGTGGGTGAGGGCTTTCCCCTAGCACCGGCCTCCATCCGGGCAGCGCCTCCTCTGCGCCCCCAGTTCCCATGCTGTCTGCCTTCCCTGGGGTCCCCAATGTCCAGGGGACAGGCTGGACCCTCTGCTCTTCCTCTCAAGCTCAGGGAAGAGGCTGGTGATGATGGGGAAGGATGGGCAGGCCGGGACTCTCTGTGCGCACGTGGCTGTGGACAGCCGCCTTTCCGCTTCTCGTGGCATTTGTGTGTGACCCCAGCTCACTCTGTGGCAACAGATATGCTTCTTCCTACACTGGAAAACGAGTCTGTTTAGCTCACATGGAACAATGAGCGTGTGAGCCTTGGCAAACAAGTTATGAAACGCTCGTGCGAGGGCTTTGCTCTATAGCCGTCCCCACCACTGCCCTGAGAACAGGGGTGCAGGCACGGGACAGCTGGCCTTGCAGAGCCAGCGGAGGCCACGGGGGGGGGGAGCTCCCTGGTGGGGGGGGCCCAGCAGTGGGAGCCGGGAGCCCTGAAGGCCAGGCTGGCTGGCTCCAGCATCCAGAAGGACCCTGGGGCACGGGGGGACCTGTCAGGCCTCCTTACTCCCGCCCTACCTGCTGGCTGCATCTCTCACACTCCTGGGCGCAGCTAGGCACTGGCGGTGTGGTTTTCCGTGATATCTCTAAGGATGGGGGTGCTCACCAGCGCTCCCGCCCCACACTTCCTAGCACTGACACAGCCTCCACCTTCCTTTTCCCTGCGACAGTGCCCTGGGGTGTCACGGGATCAGCCCATCAGTTTGAGGGAGAATCTATGGCAGAATTTTAAGGCTCACCTCTGAACACTCCTTCTCGCTGGGCACCCTCAAATTCAAACTTTCGTCTCCTCCATCAGGTAAAACAAGTCCTTTCTGCCTTGCTGTATGGCCTGGGCTGCAATTCAGAAATGGTCCCCAAGCGAGACCTCACCTGCCACATGGCTCCTCCCCGTGGCCTGCTCCTGGGTCTGTCACCAAGGCTTCCTAACACTGTTCCTGTTTGTGCTCGACTTTTAATGGCTGCTCTGGGTGACAGGAGGGTCCCATCCCAGCTGTGCCCAGAGCGAGGGAAGGCTTGGGGGTTGTCACTAACATCTCAGCAGCAATCCCTTGTTGCCGTGCGCTCCAGGCCACTCTGCTGCACAGCCACAGCCAAGATCAGGGCAGAGCCAGGTGGCAGTGCTGCAGCAGGGGGGACAGTGCCAGCCGCCTGCGCAATTTTAAATTTTCAGCAGCCACCTTTAAAAAGTAAAAAGAAGACACGTGGTGCTAATTTGTATATCCCTTTTTATTAACCCTAGTGTGTAAAAACGTCATCCTCTTAGCGTGTAATCACGTCCAGAATTCTTAAGGACATTTTACTTATTCATTTGTGTGTATTTATTGTAGCTCGGGCAGGCATTGGGCTCACTATGTAGTCCAGGACACCCCTGAGGTCACAGCAGTCCTCCTGTCTCTGCCTCCCGAGTGCTGGGGCTGCAGGCATGTGTCACCACATCCAACTAATGAGATATTTTAAAGATATTTTTCTTACACTAAGTGTTTGAAATCAGGTGCATTTTACACTTCACCACAAAGCGCCTGCCTGGCAAGCACAAGGTCCCAAGCTTAATCCCCGATATAAAATAAAAAAAAAAAAAAAGCCTCCTCTGTGTTTAGATTTCAAAACCACATTACAGGGGCTGGTGAGATGGCTCAGTGGTCTAAAGCGCCTACTTAGAACAAGCTTTAGCAAAGCACAGGGACCGCGGTTCAATCCCCCAGCACCACATGCCAGCCAGCCCCGCCCCCTGGTGGGCTGAGCTGGCCACACACACACACACACACACACACACACACACACTCACACAAATAAATAAATAAAATTTAAAAAAAAAAACACATTACAATTGGAAAACTGAATTTCACTTACCCAAGTTGTTCTACACATAAAGTTGTCCTACAAAAGTGGAACAGAGAATAAATTTTGAAATCTAAGTTTACAGTAGTGCAAGTTAAATCAGCTCCACAGTGAGTCTAGCAGCTGAAATCTGGGAGTTTGGGACAAAAGGACACTTGTGGGCTCTGGGGGAAACCCTGGGCTTCTTGCTTGTATCTGACTGCTTGGTAGCATTTCATGCACAGCCTGCGGACGCTGGCACGCGTCCCAGAGGCAGTCAGTAAGCACCCGTCAGTTCCTAATGTGAACCTTGCAGACAGCTGTAGCAAGTTTCAAGTATTTCTGCGTGAAGGAGATTACTAATTAGCATTAGCGTTAGAAACGGTCAGTCCGTAGCCAGCCCTCTCCCAGGCAGCGCAGCACGGCAGACGGGCCAGCGGAGCACAGCGGCTCACGCAGGGCAGACAGGAAGCAGAGTGTGAAGGCGGAGCCAGGAAGGGAGAGTAACCTCCCAGGCCGCGCCCCGAGGGCGCGCCTCCCCAGCCTGGGCTCGCCTCCTAGCCAAGCCATCAGTCCCCAAGACCCGTCACCTCCCAGGATGCTGGCCTACGAGTGCATGAGGCTTCGGGATTGTTTTTTCCTCTCCCGTTATATCTTCCGGCTATGTTTTCTAGCTGCTGCGTGTAGGCCTTTGCTCTCTCTGTATGATTTTAAAGCCCACTTTCCTTCTGGCTTTTTTTTTTTTTTTTTTTTTTTTTTTTTTTTTTTTTTTTTTTTTTGCAGTAACAGCTGCGTCTCTTGGGCTTCCCAAGTAAGAAATCACATCACCTGCAAAATATGTTCATTTCACCTCCTCTTTCCCAACTCTGATATCTCTATTCTCTTTCTCTTCTCTAATTTATCACACGGGTAGAGAGTTTAGGAGCGATGTCTCCACTTTTTCTTTATTAAGTACAATGTTGGCTTTGAAAGTACTCTCTAATTTCTATTGCATTTAGTATTTTATAATCAAGAACGGACATTCAGGGCTGGGGAGATGGCTCAGTAGAATCCGTGCTCGCCTGGCAAGTGCAAGGGCCTGACTTCAAGCCCCAGTTCAGCCAAAAAAGAAAAAAGAAAAGAATGGACATTCAAGGCCACATGTACTCGTGCACACTTGTAATCCCAGCTACTCAGGAAGCTGAGGCAGGAAAATCACAAGTTCAAGTCCCTCCTGGGTAACTTAGTGAGACCTTGACTCTAAATAAATAAATTGGACTGGAGATGTAGCTCAGTCCTGGGTTAGAGCACGCTTAGGTCTACACCCCAGTACTAGGGGCGGAGGGGGGCAGAATGAGCATTCAAGACTGCTTAAAGGGGCCGGGGGTGTAGCTCAGCGGCATAAGTGCCTGCCTGGCAAGCACGAAGGCAGGAGTTTGATCCCCGGCACCAATAAATAAATAAATAAATAAATAAATAAATAAATACTGCTTAGAACAAAATGCAAATTTAAAAAAAGACATATAGACTGAGGCAGCACACAGTATAGCTGTCATTTCAGATCCATAAGGAAAGGGTCGCTTTTTAAATAAGTGTTCCGCAATCCCTGGATGGTCACATGGTAAAAGATGAAACTAGAACTATTCTTCAGGCCATATGCTGGGGTAAATTTAAAATGGATTAGAGATTTAAGTGTAAATAATAAAACCTTATAAGCACTAAAAGAAAGCATGGGCATCTTAGTCACGTCCATATCACTGGGACAAAATATCACACACAACTTGCAGGAAGAGGGGCTTCTCTGTGATTCAGGTTTTCAGTCTCTGGCCGGCTGCCTCTAGGGCGGGAACAGCGGTGAGGAAGGGTGGAGCTGAGAAAAGCGGCTCCTGCGCGGCAGCCAGTAAGCCAAGGGTGAGAGGAGGAGCCGGGGAGGG